AACGATCAACGCATGATTCAAATTGATCATTTGTTGTCGGTAGCGATCCGTATTTACCGTTTCACCAGGTTTTAATAGATCGTGGTACACCACACCATCCTGGTCCCACCAAACACAGAGCATTGTCTTACGGCCAAAGCGATTGGGCTTTGCAGTGGATGGAGCGGCTTCACCAGGTGAAAGCCATGATCTTTTTCGCTTCGGGTTCTCAAAAAAAATCCACTTCTCGTCACCCGTGACAATCCGATGCAAAAAAGACTTCCTTTCGAACCGTTGAAGCAGCATTTCACAAATGGTTTTTCGATGTTCCATTTGCCTGTCGTTCAATGCGTGTGGCACCCATTTTCCATACTTCTGAATTTTTCCCATGGCTTTTAAACATTGGCAAATTGCTACTCGGGACACATTAAGTTTTTCTGCCAATATTTGTTGTGATTGGGTTGGGTCTTCATCCAACAACACCTGCAAATCCTCGTCTTCAAACCTTTTCACTGCACCAGGATGTTCATTGTCTTTCAAATCGAAATCTCCACTTTTAAATTGACGAAACCATGTCTCACATGTTCTAATCACTGGAGCATGTTCACCATAAGTTTCTACTAGCAAACGATGTGCTTCAGCTGGTTTTTTCTTTTGATGAAATAAGAAAAGCAACGAATGCCGCAAATGCTCTTTATTTGGAACGAAACTCGACATATTCATTGATTTAAACGACTATGACGCTATTATTTTGATAGAATGAGACTTAGGTGTTTTTGGAGGTTAATGTCAATAGAAAACAATCGTGTATATAACAAATCATAGAAATGCCTACATCCTGCTAGCAACACCTACTGTAAAAACCGGCAAACTTCAACTTACACTCCTGGTATATACAGGGTGTTCTGCCGTCGGACTTGGTTCGGCCAAGCTAGGCGAAAGAATAGCGGTAAACGCAAGATACCCAGAATAGGGGTAAGCGCAAAGTAACGAATACAAAGAATAGCGGTAAACGCAAGATACCGTAACGAAAATAAGGAATAGCGGTAAGCGTAAGATGCAAAGTAACGAATACAAAGAATAGCGGTAAACGCACGCGGTCGGAGGCCGGGAGCACCCGGCTGAGTCAGGGAGCGCCCTGGCTCGGGTACGGAAATCGGTCGGGAACCGGGAGCACCCGGTAGAGTCAGGGAGCGCCCTGGCTCGTATAGGATTGGCTTCGAGGTGTCACGCTCGAAGCCGGACGGGACTCTCCCGGTCTCGGCCGAGACCGGCCTTTTATACCCGTCACGGTGATCCCCACCCGTGACGGGCTCCCACCTAGCCGCCGTTCGGACCGGGTTCGGTCTCCGAACTGGCGGTCCGTAGGGATGACGCCTTAAGGCGTCGTCACAAAATAAGAAAGCAAAACTTATCGTAACGTAAAAATATTAGTGGAAAATAATCCATTAAATTGTGATTGTGACGTGTATGATTTTCTACGTTATAACGAAGGCAAAATGCTTAAGGTTCAAAGCCATTTTCAGATAAAATACAATAATTTAACTTGTCATAGTCCGAAAGAATTGAAAAAAGTTCAGTTATATTTCAGAAATTTCATCTGTAAGATAAAAAACACAGATTCCATTACTGTGTGTTCCGAAAAGTGCGATTGTTTTTAAAGCCTCATGATAAAAATTTTACATTTGATTGTTCTAATAGAAATTTAACAATTGTGCCACATGATATAAAGGAGTCTAATATTTCTTCGATACAACGTTTAACAAGATCGATTGACACAATCTTGTATTTTTATTTGAATTTCTCTTATAATCGGTTAACGCAGATACCAGATTTGAACAAATTGGGACTGCGATCAGTTAATGAACTTTCTTTATCTTACAACAACATATCTAATATTTCTTTAAGTGATTACAACAGGGAAATTTAACTTTATTGGATGGATTTTTTATCAATTTAACAAAATTGGAAGCTTTTGAGATGACGAATAATAGACTAGTCACATTACCGGAAGATCTCTTTTGGGGATTATCTTTGCTGAATGTGATTATATTGAGCGACAATTACCTCGAATGTTTGCCCGTAAAAATATGCCGGAATTTGACACAGTTAGAAATGTGGTCATTGAATTCTAATAATCTAGAAGTTATGCCTGATTATACTTTCTTAAAAACTAGTCGATTAAGAAAATTGGATTTGTCAAATAATCACTTCTATTTCCGAGTATGTTTAAACCGCTTTTATTATATGATTGTTAATAATTATTTACGTTCTATAATTTTGTTGATATAGAATTTATTTTTATATTTCAGACAACTATTCAATGGATTATACTCGTTGGAACAACTAAATATGGAACGAAATCGTGTAAAAATGATTTCCGATCATAGTTTTAATTTTTTAATAAATTTGAGGATTATCAAATTGTCACTTAATAACCTTACATTACAATCTAATTTGTCCGATTATTTCTATGCCGGATCGCTATCGCCTTTCTATAATTGCACTTGGCTGAAAGAATTATATTTAGCTAACAATAGCATTTCGGAAATATTTGGGGATTGGATTATTAACCACGATAAACTTTATATACTGAATCTTAGCTATAACAATATATCTTCTATAAAAGTAAGTATTTAGGACTGCACCTCGAAAAGTGATATATATAAGATGTTCTAAAGTTAAACGATTAAATTTCATCAATTTGGTCAATGAGCAAAAATAAGAAAAAGATGTTATATAAACATAAGTCTAAAAACGTTTTATTATCACGTCACATTAAAAAGACAGAAATTCGTTGGCACTGTTCTATTAGACAACCTCCATTGTTATTTTTTTGCAGCAACTCGAAAATCTCCATTACAGAAACCATATACAAAAATCATATTTGCGTACTCTTTGTTCGAGAATACTTGTTTTATTTTAATATAAAATTGTACTATGTACTGATACAGTGAACTGATTTTAAGACTGATACACATTAGTTCATTCATCGATATTGATTATCTTCAATGACTTTAAATAATAAACATAGCTAGGATAAACTTATTATTGACAAACATTGCCGATCTACTCTACCATCGTAATTAAATTTACGAAATTGTTTTTGAAGATAATAAATATATGACAATATATTCATAATCATTTTTATTTAAATTTTAGACAGAAAATTTACTGTTTTCATCGAACGATATTATAGTGGATTTGACTCATAATAAGATACAGCATATTTTTTTACACGATGCCAAAAATATCACAAAAGTCGAAAGCAAAACTAATCGTACCATAAAAATATTGGTGGAAAATAATCCGTTAAATTGTGATTGTGACGTATATCATTTTCTCCGTTATAACGAAAGTGAAATGCATAACATTCAAAGCTATTTTCAGATGGAATTAGACAATTCATTTTGTCATAGACCAAAAAAATTAAAAAAAGTACGAATAAAAATGATATATATTCTTTCTTATGACAGATTGACCTCATCGAGAAGCTAACGCTTTGCTCGATGCTTCAGATCCCACAAAATTTCAAACGGACAGTGATAATCTTCCGCATACATAGCAAAATTGTATTGATTTTGTTCAAGGCTGTATTACTGGGTTGTATAAATTATGGGATAATATTTAATTTTTAATATTCATAATAATCGTAATATTTATTTCATAAAAATATTTGTAATAAATCATATTTATTATTTTTACTCGCTGTCAAATCTTTTCTTTTTTTGTGTATTATAAAAAATAATTTTTTACTTGCAGTTGTATGAATTTCATTATTCATAATTATAGCTAAAAATTATAGTAAAAATCAGTTCATGTTCGATTAAGTGATCGTAAGTGCCTTAGAAAATACAGTGAATGAGCTCCTTATTATTTTAATACGTTTATATTTTACAATTCTCGAAAACTTCCCGATGAGCTGGATTATTTTTAGGTCGTCTAGATTTGATGCGCCAGCGCGTATCTTAATTTATCCCAAAACCAAGGATCTCCCCGCTGAATGTGCGTGTTCATAGATATGTACGCTTTCAGTTCAGGATCCAAATTATCTGTAGGCCCGATGTCACTATACAAGATCAGTATCACTCGCGTCCGACCTTCGTTTAACGCTTGACGATGAGCAGCCCGAAATTCCATTCTTCCCCAGATGCTCTCCAAAAAATTTGGCGACAGTACCACTATCATTCGTCTAGAATTCTCCACAGATCTAGCAATATTATCCGGTATCCATTCGTCTGCTAACCAATCTCGATAATGAAGACACAATTTCAACGGTGTCGGGCCACTCTCTAGCTTCGATATCAACTCGTCTACTATAAAATCGTGATCCTTGTGCGAGAAGCTCACAAATGCGTCGTACAATTTGTCCTTATCCAATTCCTCTTCCGTTACAAAGGATAAACACCACTGATGCGCAAATAGCCATACTTTAATATGTGTTCGGTATTTGAAATACAAACCAAAAATTAAACCAATAATTAATCCAATAAGAGCAACTGCTGCACTAATGCTGATAATTATTATGATATTAAATGGACAAAAATCGTCCAAGGTCATTTTTGATATCGATGTATTCTTTTTGTGACATATTATTTTAGACATGTTGATTATTTCGTATTTTGAATGAATAAAATTATAAATATCTCTAGCTTCACAATTGCAATCTCACGGATTTTCATGTAACGTCAAATGCATTAAATTGGTAGAGTTTTCCGAAAACTTCAGCACGTCAGAATGTATTTTTGACAATTTATTGTTGTGTAGTTCCAGAACCTGTAATATATCAATTTGATATATTTCAGGTTCTGGAACTACACAACAATAAATTGTCAAAAATACATTCTGACGTGCTGAAGTTTTCGGAAAACTCTACCAATTTAATGCATTTGACGTTACATGAAAATCCGTGAGATTGCAATTGTGAAGCTAGAGATATTTATAATTTTATTCATTCAAAATACGAAATAATCAACATGTCTAAAATAATATGTCACAAAAAGAATACATCGATATCAAAAATGACCTTGGACGATTTTTGTCCATTTAATATCATAATAATTATCAGCATTAGTGCAGCAGTTGCTCTTATTGGATTAATTATTGGTTTAATTTTTGGTTTGTATTTCAAATACCGAACACATATTAAAGTATGGCTATTTGCGCATCAGTGGTGTTTATCCTTTGTAACGGAAGAGGAATTGGATAAGGACAAATTGTACGACGCATTTGTGAGCTTCTCGCACAAGGATCACGATTTTATAGTAGACGAGTTGATATCGAAGCTAGAGAGTGGCCCGACACCGTTGAAATTGTGTCTTCATTATCGAGATTGGTTAGCAGACGAATGGATACCGGATAATATTGCTAGATCTGTGGAGAATTCTAGACGAATGATAGTGGTACTGTCGCCAAATTTTTTGGAGAGCATCTGGGGAAGAATGGAATTTCGGGCTGCTCATCGTCAAGCGTTAAACGAAGGTCGGACGCGAGTGATACTGATCTTGTATAGTGACATCGGGCCTACAGATAATTTGGATCCTGAACTGAAAGCGTACATATCTATGAACACGCACATTCAGCGGGGAGATCCTTGGTTTTGGGATAAATTAAGATACGCGCTGGCGCATCAAATCTAGACGACCTAAAAATAATCCAGCTCATCGGGAAGTTTTCGAGAATTGTAAATTATAAACGTATTAAAATAATAAGGAGCTCATTCACTGTATTTTCTAAGGCACTTACGATCACTTAATCGAATATGAACTGATTTTTACTATAATTTTTAGCTATAATGAGTAATGAAATTGATACAACTGCAAGTAAAAAATTATTTTCTATAATACACAAAAAAAAAGATTTGACAGCGAGTAAAAATAATAAATATGATTTATTACAAATATTTTTATGAAATAAATATTACGGTTATTATAAATATTAAAAATTAAATATTATCCCATAATTTATACAACCTAGTAATACAGCCTTAAACAAAATCAATACAATTTTGCTATGTATGCGGAAGATTATCACTGTCCGTTTGCAATTTTGTGGGATCTGAAGCATCGAGCAAAGCGTTAGCTTCTCGTAGAGGTCAATCTGTCATAAGAAAGAATATATATAATGTATGCAGAAGAAATAATATATATACATATTTAATGTATGCAGTAATTTTTAAAAAATATGTAACGTATTTACATAAATAATAAAGGTATAAATAAAAGGAGATATACGAACTTTGTAATATTGAATCTAACCTGAACTTTTTATAAAATTAAGTGAATCTATTCATGAGTAAATAAAATACGCTTTTTTACTGATTTACGAAAATATATTAAAGCTAGCATCGCAATTCCAGTTAGTACTATGCCAGCTACTGTTCCAGCTGTAAGTACGATTCATCGTGAGATCGTTATAATAAAATATGAGAAGTAAAAAGTAACTAATTAAAAAAGTAACTAACTAAAAAAATTTAGATTGTGAAATTTATTTGTAGCAAAACATCTTTACAAATAAAATTTAAAAAATATAGGCTTTGTTCTTATATATTGCTTTATTTAACGTCTAAGTATTTTAATCAAAATTGTCTTACCTTGTCTTGCCACTTGTCTTTAGTTCGTCTTACTAAATTGAATGTTGCTGTAATCTTCATATAATTAGATGTCTCATTTTTAAAATTTTAAAATGTGAAATTGAATATTCCAAAAACCTATTTATTAATAATCTATATTTTTCGTATATTATATGTTCACAAAATGTTTTTTTAAATTATAAAAAAGAAATAATAGAAAAGGAGAAAAAAAAACGACAAAATAGAAAGAACGGAACAGTATTCGCAATTATTTAAAATTAATCTATATCAGAACTGCCAAAGAATGATAACTTTTTTATTTTATCGGGGACGTAAGCCCAAATTATGGTCAATCGCATAACGGATAACTGATTGTGATTGACGGTGTGATTTGGAAGTACAGTGGCGTGCAAAAATTTCCAACCAGTGACATTTTGTATTCTAATTTATAAAAAAAGCCTAATAAAGTTTTATTAGACTTTTTTTTTTAAATTAGAGATTACAAAATATCACTGGCCGGAAACTTTTGCCACTGTATATTGTTTAGAAGTGTGAAATGCGACTACAGTTCCACAAATTAGATCAGCATGTTTTTCATATATTAGATTGTCTACCTATATGTTTATTTCATAATTAAAAAAAAGAAACAGTTACGAATGTATTGAAAGTATTACAGAACACTGATTCTGTGTATTACAGAACACTGATTCTGTGCATTTAATAATTATTTAATAATCGCCATTGTCTTTCGACAAAAGAGAAAATCTAAACATAAACCACATGCGGCCTAAAATTGATCATAACTTAATACAACAAGTGAGTAATATAGTGAGAAAAAAGGAATATAGCGAAAAGGAAAATATCCGCGTACCACGCGTACACGCTTTTTTAATAGGTGTATTTAGAAAACTCGTGGGTTCTACAATCGCTAAGTAACAATTGTCTATGGCTGACATATAACGGAAAGTAGCCTAATTTAGATTTTTTAATTTTTCTTTTGTACACAAATGTAAAACATTGCAAAAGAAAACATCTATGGAAATAAGACAAATATTATATGTACTTTTATATCATGTGTACATCGTGATCAAAGACATTTAATAAAATAAGATTACAAAAAAAAACTAAACTATTGGTCCATTCTAGGCAACTGGTTACGTAAATTGAATCACAGATTTCCTACATTGGACCTCTCTTAAAAACCAATATAATTAAATCTACAATCTAAGAAAATTGTGAATCCAAATTTTGCGATATTACTTTTTAATAGATAAAAAAAATGTAGAATGTAAAAAATGTAAAACATTATTCCTGTTGAAATCTTTTGCTTTTGCTAGTGAGGTAGCCTATGATTGTCGAACAGACAGTTGAGGATTTCTTCGTATAAATGCATAGAGCTATTTTTCCCCGCCAACTTTTTTTTTAATGTTTTAAAAAGTTCATATTTATCTGCTATTATCAATGCTAACTTTTGAATGTCTTTAATGCTCAACCCGAAAAACACTCTTCTAACATGATAATATGATCAGCCAGAATCTTCTCCATATCTTGAGAAAACGTAGCTTGTCTAGAGCCTTCACAACATTCATATATCAGTTTTTCTTTATAGCGTGTCTTGTAATTATAGCTTTAAGAACACCATACACCCTACTACACTTATTAAAACCATAATTCTTATTTTTATACACCGCAACGGCCATTTGTAATTCATTATCAATCAATTTTCCATATTGTTTTCTTTCTATCATTTTAGATGTGAAAGTTGAAAAAAAAAAGAACGTTTTCAGCATGTTTTAAACTACTATTAATGAGAGACATTGTGTCCTGCGATGCGCCGTTCAAATACAAACAACTTGTGGTAGTTCAAATTAGGTAACTTATAGGTTACATCAGAAAAATATGTTTATATCATTACATTTATACTGTGATATTCAAACAAGTACATCACATTGTAGCTAAGACAATATACTTTACATTAGTAATGTTTAACCACTTCAATGGTAGACTTTTCCGAAGAGTTTGTGCCAAAAGTGGTAAGGGTAAAAAATTAAAATATTGAAAAGCTGTAAAACACGGGTTCAAAGTTTTCGAAAAAGCTACTTTTCGAAATGGATGTGGATCGTCCCCCACGCTCTGGGGGGAAGGTAGAATAAGGGTGGAAAATAGTAAATGGCACTATGGATTGAGTGGAGATTCATTTGAAAAGACTTTCCAAGACGAGAACAATGATTTTTGAAAATGTTTACTACGACTTTCCAATCAAAAGTTACGATCGTGTAAACCAAAATGTGGGGAGTCGTTAAAATATTTAACCAGCTAATGATAAAGGTGAAAAGGAATACTTTATTTCGACATTTGAAAAAAGATTTTGTGTACAAAGTATTATGCAAATATGTAAGAAATGATTGGTTCAAACAATTAACAGTCGCCATATTGGATTCGCAATTTTGAATTTTGCAATTTTGACAGACATGAATTTTGCAATTTTGACAGATTCGAATTCAGCAGCCCAAAAAACCTTACGATATCAAAATTAATGCAAATCTGTTGAAAATTATTGGAGTTATTTAATAATGTACATATATGATACATTACCACGTTTGGTACTTTTTTTTTGCACATATATGATACATTACCACTCAACTGGTTAAAATTATGATACTAGAATGAAGAAAATTGATTTGAGACGTCAGGAAAAACCATGTTCACACATCACTACTTTCCAGCGAGACTGAGCAGAAAGGCTGCCTCGTTGTTTCACCGCTTTCCACCCTCATTCTTTAAGCCCTTATAGCTAATCATGACACTACAGATATCTCTCTCTCTCTCTCTTTTGATATATACGGCGATTCAATTTAGGAGCCAGTTCAAGTTCAGTAACTCTCCTCTATATTAAAATGCACTAGCACTGCAATTACAGTATTACACCACCTACTGTTCCAGCTGTAAGAACCGTTTATTATGAGATTGTTACAGTAAAATATGGCAAATAGAAAGAAACCAATCACGTAAAAAAAGAACATTAATCGTAAAATTTCTAGCAAAGTATCTTTGTAATAAAATAAAAATATAAAATTTAATTTGTTTTTTTCGTACATATTGCTTTATTTAACTAAATAAATAGTTATAAATATATAAATAGTTCAGTCAAAAAGTTTTTTTTATAAGTTTATTTTATAAAAAAGTTTATTCTATAAGTAGTTTAAACCAGTGATGAGCAATCCGCGGCCCGCGGGTCGCATGTGGCCCTTCAACTACATACCTGCGGCCTGCCGAAACGTTGCATTTTATTTAGCTGTAAGGCAGTGCTCGGAATTAGTCTGAACATTTCAGCCGATTTCCGTGGTATACGCCTCCTTTCCTCTCCTTACCGCGCGCGTCGCAGCCGCTACGGCCAGCGCCGCCGAGCGTTAGGAGCGGCACTATCTGATTAGGTTCTATGAGTAGGTTCTTCTCCCTATTTATTAAAATTTAAAAAATTTATTAAAATAAATTTTTTTTAAATTTATTAAGTGGAAATATTTCAATAGATTTCTACGTCACCCATGAGGTACTAATACTGACACGTTTTTCAAAAAGTGGTTTCTATCTATATTATTGCATCAATTGTTCATTTTCATAAAAGGCTAAGAAAATCTAATTAAGAAAATCTCTTTTATATATATTTTTTTAAATTAAGAATTTATTTTATCTTTAGTGGAATAGGTCTACGGGGAAACCATTAAAAAAAACGACGTCAGCATTAGTATCTCATGGGTGACGTGGAAATCTATTGAAATATTTCCACTTAATAAATTTAAAATAAAAATTTATTTTAATAAATTTAATACATTTTTAAAATTTTAATAAATAGGGAAAAGAACCCACTCATAATCAGATAGTGTCGCTCCTAACGCTCGGCGGCGCTGGCCCTAGCGGCTGCGGCGCGCGCGGTAAGGAGAGGAAAGGAGGCGTATACCACGGAAATCGGCTGAAATGTTCAGACTAATTCCGAGCACTGCTGTAAGGAATAAAAATTTTAGCAAACATACCCCTCAATATTGAAAAGCTTGTTGATGAGAAACAAAA